TTATTTTAGAGAGAGAGAGGGCAAGCAGGGGAGAGAGGGTGAGGGGCAAAGGGAGAGAGAAAATCCTAAGCAGCCTCCGTGCTTAGCATGGAACCTGACACCCGGCTCATGACCCCGGGATCATGAAATCAAGAGTCAGACACTCACGGTGCTGAGCCACCCAGGTGCCCCAGACTGCTCTTTGTTCCTTCAGCTTCATGAATTTAGACAAATACTTGGCATCACATTGGTATTTTGTCATCTACAAAACAAGGACAACAGTGGTTACCTATATCATAGGGTAAATTCTGAGGATTAAATAGATAATGCACAGGAGACTGTTACCAGTGGTTGTTAACTATGATGACACACACTCGATACGCAACTGTTTTTGAAGTAAAAATAATGGCATGACACTTCTACATAGCTGGCGAAATGCAGTTTTTTAAATTTTCAAAATGTTGAATGTTTCACCTTTTACATACGTAAACATACAAGGTAGCTAGGCTCTTGTGAAAGAATTGGCCAGGCAAATTAGGTTGCTGCTGACAGAAACAGGATGTGTGTACCTCCCTGAGAAAATTGTTACACCTGAGGTGGCTCTTCACGGACTTCATTTTTCCTGTCAGTTGGTGCCCATAGTGATGCTGTTGCAGGGTAGCTTGGTACCAGTACTCTCCGTCGCCAGAATGTTCCTAATGGATTGCTGTAACTTTAATGAAATCCAGTCTTGCTGAATCACTAAACCTGCTTTCTCCTAGAAGGCTCTTTATTGGGAGCTGACAGATCACCTCTCCAGAGCTTTCAGACGTCCTGGCTCTCTAATTCTTCTCCATAACGAGTTTTGTGCTGCATGATAAAATATTCATGTTAAAATAGGTTCTAAACTAATTATCTGCAGCCAGCAGTTGCCAGTGCAGTCATTTGCTGTTAGCTTGGCTCAAGTTAATGGCTTGTATTTCAGTACAAATAGTCCCTTCTGGCTGTTTCCTGTCGCTGATTCTTATCCTAAATGGAATTTCCATACATATCTAGAGTTAATTCTTCTTATTTTGAGAAGAGATTTCTTGCCCTACTTTTTCCATCTCATTTTGTTAAGATGAACTTGATTTTAGTGTCCAGTTCCTTATTGTTCCCCTCCATCTTCTGTCCCTGTGTCACCGCCAAATTCATGACTCCCACCCTGACCAGTAAGAGTAGTCGGGTTCCAACTTTATAGTCAATGGAATGTGCCATATCAGCTTTTTAAAGAAACAAAATAAATACCATGTAAAGGATGAATTTTGGCGTTTAAGATGGGCACTTAGGCTTAGATGCTGGAGACCTACAAAAGGGGGTCTGAGGAGAATTAACCACTTTAGGAAGGATCATGGGGCTGGATGTGAGGGAAAGGAGACACCAATGGGGTGGTTTGGGTGGGTATCAGTGGAAATGATGAATGAAATGCTGAAGCCGTAGGTGCTTTCAAGAGCAGAGGACTAAGGACTTTGTCTCTGGATAATCCACAGTGAAGTAGAAGTGAAAAGAGAGGAAGCCAAGCAAGCCAGGGAACCTTCCCCGTATCCAAGGCCAGGGTTGGGTTTCCTGCCCAGGTCTTTCTTTCGTTGATCCTTTCTGTTCCCACGTGTTTCCGCAGTGAGTGAGTATGAACGGAGTTAAGTCGGAGAGACTACATGGTTCGGTAGAGGGTGGGCTTTCTTTGGAGTCTGAGTGCCTCTCGCCTCAGCAGCATCTTGGCCACTGAGCTCTTCAGAAAACAGCAGCTAACCTAGAGCAGGTGACTGGGGTGTTTGACCACGGAGACACATACTCATCCCTTCAACTAAATTATACAGCTTTCCTTCAACTCCTTTTTCTTCGAACGTTGTAGGTATCACACTCTTTTAAGTACCACCTGGCCTCCTCTCCTCCTTCCCAAGTACAGCAAACACAAAAATCCTAAGTTGCATATTGATTCTCTGTCAGTTAATTGATACATGCCATATGCATTCTATAAATGGCCTGCGGATTTCATGAGTCCAGTGTTCGTGATTCAGTTTTAAAATAAAGCTTTCCATTTTTCACGAGCTTATAAAAAAATTAGAATTTTACTTTAAATAAATAGTTACTAGATTTGTACCGTTAGAACCTGTCGAGATGTTAATAGTAAAGAAAATTCTCCTGATACGAACTGCTCAAATCCAGCAGTCCATTTTTCATTGTACTTAAAAGAGCACATGCATGGGGAATTAGTATGGTAAGTGTTTTCCCCTCACGCGTTGTTTCTGACCTATGTCATATGTTTGTTAATTCATCTGCTTTTTATTCCTTGATCAAAGCCGAAATATGCCTGTTATAACACCCACGGTAAGATGCTTCCTGAAAGGAAATGTTAGCTGACATTTTGGTTCTCTTCTTTCTTTTTTTAGTAAAAACATTTTTGTCCTGGAATCTGTTATAAATGTGGTTCCCAGGAAATGTGTAAAAGGGAAATCTAATAAAAGTGTTAGTTAGAATTGTGGCTTCTGAGAGTTCAGGTATAACTTAAAATTAAGAGTTATTGCATATTTTATATTTCAGGTTTTAGTTATAACTTCATAATAATCAATGTCTTCAATTAGATGTATGAACAATCGTTTCTTTTAAGTTCATAAAATACCTGAGGTATTTTGGGGTGGGTGTGTAGATATTGACTACTTAATGGGAAAATGTGTTTAAGCTGACACCTCCCTGCTTTTAATGGTAGGACAATAATTTTGGAAACTACAAACAAATGTTACATGTATTCTTTAAATCTCTTTCCTCTTCTCTTTTTTCAGTTTTAAAGGAATTAATGTTTTATGTTTTTCTGATAGTCCCCATGGACATAGATGTATGTATTCACTGAAGAGAGAAAAGATGTAAATTGTATGTAATGGAATCCTGATCATTTAAGATGTCTCAGAGTTAACGCTGTTGATACTTGCTCCTGTCATCTGCTAAACTTTCAGTTGCTCGGAAGGAGAATGCTCCTGGTGGTGGCCTCTAAGAGATGTATGAGGGGTGGAAGAATGAAATTCTGTACCCAGTTAGGGTGCCTCCGGGATCCCATAAGACTGGCCATGTTAGCCCTCTCTGCTATTTTAAGCCTGAAGGGCTCATGAGGAGAAATGTATGAAATACACAGTAATTATATAAAACGTGTATCTGATTTTAAGCAGTTCAGCCGATCGCCCTCAGCTTTGGTTTGCATTTGGTATGTACTTCTATTTTCCTTTTCCCCCAAATTGTCAGATTCTTATCTCTTGACCGTTTTTCTCTACTTCTGGATATATTCTCTACTTCTCTACTTGTATATATTCTGGATATCCTTTTTCATTAAATACGACAAAATTATTTTGTCTCAGTTTGTTGCTCATTTTTTAAACCTTGTGTGCAATGTGTGTCATTATGCAAAAGTTTAAGGATTTATGTCATTAATTCTATCTATTTCTTCCTTCATAGCTTATTGGTTTTTAACCTTTTTAAAATAACCCTTCCCTGGAAAAACAGCTATGACTTGGGGACTCAGATGCCATCATGTTTTCATTCGCTTTCTCTCTTTCTTTCTCTCCATTTCTCATCTTCCTGTCTACAAGTTGGTTTCATTCTTAACTTCCTGCTGTAGACCATCCTTTTGTAAGTGGTTCCTGGGCTTTTCATCTACCCAGAAAGAGACTGATTCTTTTGCTCTTCAGCCCAAAAATCTCAGTTTGGGTCAGCTACCCTTCATGGTATCCTAGAAATGAAGTCATGCAAGAACATGGTCAGCCCCAACCAGAACCACAGGGATAAAAGTGTAGTGACTAGTAAAAGGCATCCTTAGATGCCTGCCTACTGTAGCTTAGGTACATGGGTATCGTTCTGGGTTCTCCAGAAATTATAATTTAGCTATTGGCCTGTGCCTGTTCCAGTTCAGTGTGGTGTGCTGTTGTCCTTAGAAACCAGTAGGACAAGTACTTTCTATTTTTTTCCTTTAGAAAATACTATTGGCTGGTGTTGGTTCTTCCAGATGAAATTGAGAATTAGCATGTCAGGTTCTATTACACATCTCTTTTTTGATGGGAATATATTGAATACATAGATATATAAGCTCAGAATTGGGTTCTTATTCTGAGACTTACTTTCTACAATCATGGTATAACTCCATTTTTTTTCAACCTGTCTCTTTATGTTAAAGTATCTTACATGGCTGTATTAGTGTCAAATGAATATTTGCGATTTCTCCTTAACCAAATAAAGCTTCATGGAATAATTATAATTTAGGAACACATGTAAGTAAAGGAAGAAAACAAAGGTTTCCTATAGTCCTGCCACTCAGAAATAACTATTTACATTGACGTACATGATGGGGTTGCATCTTCCTTGCACAGGGGTTGAGTTTTAGGATACAGAAATGGCACTTGTATCAGTTCAGAATGCATTCAGTTGTACATAACAGGAAACCTGATGATTGTAGGAGTTTATTATTCACATAAAAAGTCTGGAGATAGGCGGTTGGTTCAGTGATGCAATGAAATCAGAGCTAATTCTGTACAGTTCTTTTGGCTTTTCTCAGGTGGTCACAAGATGGCTGCTGCAATGCAGTCATTATATTCATGTTTGAGGCAAGAGGGTAAGGGATGGGATGCATCAGTTTGTCCCTTTGTTAGAAAAAGGAAGGCTCTGAGGCACCTGGGTAGCTCAGTCAGTTGAGTGTCTGACTCTTGATTTCGGCTCAGGTCATGATCTCATGTTTTGTGAGTTCAAGCCCCACATCGGGCTCTGCGCTAGACAGTGTGGAACCTGCTTGGGATTCTCTGCACCTCTCCTGCTCTCTCACTCTCTCTCTCAAAATAAATAAACTTTAAAAAAATAAAGAAAAAGGAACGCATTTTCAGATAATCTCACCTTCTGTCTGCTCACTTGACCATCCCTCTATGCAGATAAGGTTGACAAAAGCCAGCCTTTGGCATTTTAGCCTCTGTTGTGGTAAGTGAGGTTGGATCTGCCTTGGATAGCCATTCAACACTACCTGTCTTTGCAAAAAAGGTGAAAATCACCATTGGAAACATTTTAAATTGCACAGACCCAGTTTCGTACCAGAGGTACAGATATAGAGATACCGAGATAACGTCTTAAACCAGTATTTCCCAATACCCCTTAATTAAGTCTTCATCCCCCCCCCCCCCCGCCAAGGGTTTCTAAGAGGCCTTTCTCTCTACTTGGCTGCCACCTGTACAGTGCAGGACAGAGCCCTGGAAATCCTAGAAATAATTTATACTTGGTTTCCCTCAGTTTGAAATGCCATTCCTTGACTCATTGAGACTGAATTACCTTGGCCGTTGCCCAGGAGTTGGAGTGATGACTCCAGTCGTGTTTGCTCGTTTGCTTTTTACTGTTAAAAAATAGTTGAGCTTCTGTGAAGGGTGCCTTTGCTCTCTGTCAGCTCTGCTGTCCTCTTCCACGCTGCCCAGGCCCAGAGTTTGGTTTCTGCTGCCATGATAGACAAGGAGAAGGCAGTGAGAGAAGTTTCCCTGGGCCATGCCTGACCTCTGGATTAGCCTCGCGGTGCCTCTCTGACTCCGGGGTTCTGTTTTCCTCAGTTCCTCTGCTTCCTGAAACTGCAGCCTTGTGCTTCTGGTTCGCGTGGCTCTCTAAATCCCATTCATCTGGCGCTTCCAGACCTGTCATTTTTTTTTTAATTTTTTTTTCAACGTTTATTTATTTTTGCGACAGAGAGAGACAGAGCATGAACGGGGGAGGGGCAGAGAGAGAGGGAGACACAGAATCAGAAACAGGCCCCAGGCTCCGAGCCATCAGCCCAGAGCCCGACGCGGGGCTCGAACTCACGGACCGCGAGATCGTGACCTGGCTGAAGTCGGACGCTTAACCGACTGCGCCACCCAGGCGCCCCCAGACTTGTCATTTTTATGAGGTCTCATTGCTTCTGCAGTTATGGCATACCCCTGACAAATAGAGTTCTTTCTTACCTAGGAAAAATATTAGCTTTAGTTTAACCATAGCTGTTTTCTGCAAGTGTGTGAAGAACTGGAAAATTGCAATTAGTTTCAGATAAGCACAGATGAAATATTCTTGTTTTGTACTAAGGCAACACATTGAAAGAAGGATTGAGGGCATTGAGTCATTGTAGTGTCTAATGATACAACTAATGCATTATGGGGCTCATGTATCATACTGGGACCTTGTTACTTATGAAATCTAAAATAAAAGGATCTGAATGTGTCCTTACTAGTCCTTGTGCCTCTTAATAAGAGCTTTTAATTTTTAGTCCCGGGGTCAGTCATCACATTTTTGTACTGCTAGCCCCCCCGTGGCCAAACTCAGTACTAATTAATTTTAATAATAGACTCATTAGGAATGTGCTGGTCTACAGAGATAGGCTGGTGACTCATGAAGTCATGGGAAGAGGATGAAATCATTGTGGTCATTTCAGTGCCACTTAAAAAAAAAATTCAAATGGCTGTTTCAGGGCGAGGAGGACTATTTGTGGTCAGCATTTGGGAGGTTGAGTGTTAAATTGCATTGGTTTGATGTGTACTGGTGGGTTGTCAAACTCTGCCACTGATGGTCATTTTTTAAAAAAATATTTATTTTTGAGAGAGAGAGAGAGAGAGAGAGAGAGCAAGAGCACACGGGGGAGGGGCAGAGATAGAGGGAGACAGAGGGTCATAAGTGGGCTCCGTGCTGACAGCAGAGAGCCCGACTGGGGGGGCGGGCGGAGGGGGGGCTTGAACTCACAAACCGTGAGATCATGATGTGAGCCAGTCATGATCTGATTGAGCCACACAAGTGCCCCAAGAAGTGTATGTTTCTAAAGAATTAGCAAATGAGCTCTCTCATGAACATCTGTAAGCGTTGAGTTTTGTTGAGCTGCAGCCGCTATTGGCTGTGAGGTTTCCAGTTTTATTTCTCCATTGCTTCCCCATCATTATATGTCACTTTATTTCCTCTTTTCTGTTGTTGCCTGGGTCAGATGGGTTTGCTTGTATAGAACAATTAGGATGCTCTAGTTATTTTTAAGAACCTAAAGACAAGTACACTTATCTGTTAGAACGCTTCCTCCAAACACCTCTTAACAGTTGAATTGAATCTGCACCAGCTGTAGCCTCGTTATGTGTGGTTTGAGTGGGAGGTGTCTGATACATGGTATGTGTTTCCTGTCTGTGTTTTCATGGAAATGGATTTGGTAAAACTAAGTGACATCAGTTAGAAAAATGAGACAAACCCAATACTACATGAAGACCTTGCAAAATTGGGCCTTAAAACATAGTGGTTCAAATATACTTGCTCACACTTTCAACATGAATGCAAAATTGGGTGATGGTAGAAAATTGTTTAGGCACAGTTGCCAGGAATTGAATTAATTATACACTGAGACCACTCTCTTTGACACCACCCACTCTGTCTATCTGAATTCGCTGCTGAGTTACTCATTCGGGCATGATTTGTTTATTTTCGGGGGGGGGGGTGGTTTCAGAGAGAAAGGTTGACAGAGGATCCAAGGCGGGGGCTCTGTGCTGACAGCAGAGAGCCCGATGTGAGGCTCGAACTCACGAACTGTGAGATCATGACCTGAGCTGAAGTCGGACGCTTAACTGACTGAGCCACCCGGGTGCCCAAATGGTTTCATTTTTTACAAGAACGTGAGTTCAGTATCATTTATGAAGGTATGCAAATGCATTGGCCTGAATGAAAGTGAAGATAATAGATTCCATTTTTTTAGCATGATTTTCATTTAGCCACATTTTCATGAATTTTAGATTTATAGCCTTCTAATGCCAGGAATTATATTTTGGGTTTGGAGTGAAGAGGGCCAAGGGCTAGACTTGAAACTCCTGTGTACTTTATCTATAATCTCTCTGGAAGTCAGAAACCAGCAGTGAGAGACACGCAAGAGGCAGTGTTAAGAGAGTGGTTATTTCATGAGCTGTAGAGGTAGGTAGTATTTAACCCATCTTTGTCTCAGTTTCTTCATCTGTGTAGTGGAAACAATAATAGGACCTATCTCACAGGGTGGTTGTGAGCGTCATAGAGAACACACATACAGCATGACTTAATAGGATTAAGATTTAGCAACACTCAAATGTTCTTTCTAGTGAGTAAATTCTTAAACCATTGTAAATCAATCCTCTGAATTAAGTTTTTTTTTTTTTTTAACAAGAAACATCATTTATTCGTGATGCATGATCAGTATGCATTGACTACAGATGCATGTTGAAACTCAATTACTTGGTCTTCTACCCACTAGAATATTAGCTCTAGCAGGGCAGGGACCATGCTTGTTTTCTTCTCTCTTTTATCCTTTGTGCCTTCAACAAGGTCTTTCACATAATAGGTGCTCAGTAAATATTTGTGGAAAGAATGAAGGATGCCTGCCATTGTAAATGTTTTCAAGAAACTGGATTTAAAGGATTTTATGATTATGCATAGGTAATCTTGTTATACTGGATAATTATGTTTCTATGGATATAATAATATTGGACTAAAGATTTAGAATATTTTAAATGACAAATCTGGGCATCTCTATGGAGTCATGTAGGATGTGAAGAAAAATGGAAGTTTTCACATGTGTTTGTGTACTCCGTAAAAGTACGGAGTGAGAAAGTACTGATGTGAGAATAAAATCATTTGGATTTTTTTTCTTTCTTTAAAACTTTGATACACTATGCTGCCCTAAAAAAAGCCTTCGATTTTACTATTTTGAAAAAGTCAACGTAAATAGGTAATGCACCCTTATGATTCAGAATTCAAAAGTTTAAAAGTGTGCATGGTAAACATCTCCCTGTGACCCCCGTAGACCAGCCACTCTACCATCTTTCCCACAGATAGCGGATACCTTTAGTTGCTTATGTACCATTTCAGGGATAGTTTTTGCATAAGTAAGCAAATATGTCTATATTCTTTATTCCTTTTTTGCATTGGTGATAGCATATTAGAAATACTGTTCTGAACATGGTTGTTTTCATTGGATGTATCATGGAGTTTTCTTTCTTCTTTCCTTTTAATGGTGAGAGCATATCATTGAACTGATAAACCGTAAGTTAGAGAACTGCTTCTCTGTTAATGGGCATTCAACTTGTTTCTGATTTTTTTCTTCTCACAAGCAGAGCTGCAATATAAATGTATGAATATAGGAGTCTGCAGACTCCACTGGATATCGCCTCTCGGCCTTTTGGCTAAGATCAAGTGCAGACCCCACTGGTTATGCACATTTGTGATTTAATGGGCACTGTCATACTGACCACCATGGTGGTTGTGCCAGCTTATAGTTTCACCAAACTAGGTTTGAAACTATTTCTTTGCATTCTCATCCATATCCATATAATGGATATTCAGTCAATATCCACTATATTACCAAGCTCTTGACTCATTCCCTTTCTGACATGTAACAGAAAACAGTGTTTTAGTTTGAACTTGTATTTTTCTTCTCAGGTTCAACTTTATGTGTGTACATATATATATGTATATATATGTATATATATATATATATATACATATATATACACACACACACACACACAAACACACACATATATATGTTTAAGAACTTTCTATATTTCCTTTTTGTGTGACCTATTTATATTATTTTGTATAATTTTTAATTAACTCATTTTCCCCTGTTTTTGTTGATTTGTAGGGATTCATTAACAGGTAAGTGAGCACTTTGAGATATGAATTTCCAGTTTTTTCCTATTGATCTTTTGACTTTCCTTACCATAGTTTTTGCCATCAGAAATGTTTGATTTTTATTCTGTTAAGTATAACAAGCTTTTCTTCTTTGGATTCTTTGTGACTCAATTACAAAAGAGTTCTACTGGCTGAGGTTATAATGTGAGGAATTTTCTCATTATTTCTTTCATTACTTTTATGTTTAATTTTTTTACATTCAAATTTTCAATCCACATGGAAATTATCCAAATATAAATGATGGAAAAATCATTTGACTTCTGCTTTGATTTTGCTTTATTTGTGATCTCACCAAGTCACCTAATTTTTATCGAGTACATTTACATGCAAGAAACCTTGCTGCACACCCTCTTACTGGGTACTTTATAGCTTAGTAGGATTGATAGGATTTCCAAGTCAAATTATACAAATAATAACACAACAAGTGTGATCAGTTCAATGGTAGAGATGTTTGGGAATGCAAAGAAAAGAGTGCTTAATTTTTTCTGCATATAAGAAGGGACAGGACTCATAAAGAAATATGCAGATCATAATAATTTTTGAACCAATTAGTGTCTCAAAGCAATTTCATTTTATAAGATGCTCATTGAAAGATTGATTTAGAAGAACAGGTACAGTCTGAATTCTAAGAATGTTGAGTGCGTGGTATGAATAGATTAATGATATGATTCACATTGATAAGCCTGGCATCCCTAGTGATATATTTTTTAGCTAAGAAAAAAAAAAAAAAGAAAAAAAGAAAAAAAGAACTAGGGAAACAAATTTGAGAGAGCCAGTTTTCAAGATGAGGGAGAAGATGGCACTATAAGAACAGTAACATACCAACTTCATGCATTTGGAACTCCCTTTGAGAAAGAACCAAGAATAATTAACTAAGGCTTAATTTTTTTAAAGGTCAATATATCAGTAAAAAGGAGCTCAGATAACTAGAAAGGTGACAGTAAGTTGTGAGGCGATGAAGGAAGAGAAGCTTAATCATGTGGGGAAATGTGTAATACTTGGTACAAGAAGAGAAAGTAAGCAGAGAGTTTTCCGTCACGCCACAGGACTTGAATGAAGGGGACGTCAATGATGTCCAAAGGACACGAATGATGTCCAAAGGAAACGAATGATGTCCAAAGGACACGAATGATAAGAGAACAGCTTAAGTTTTGACCATAAGATGAAATGTGTAAGTTGACGTAACTTTCAGAAAAGTGAAGGAAATTTGATGTCAGGTACCAGCAGGTAGTTGCTGTCATTTGCAAAAGGAAGCAAACCGTTTGCAAAGCGGAGTAGAGATTGTGACTTTACAGTGAAGCATGCATTATTAACCCACTGTTTTACGAGAATAAACAGTGAAGAAGACCCAGCACTGGGGGAATAAACTCCAAATGTGTATGGAGTAGATTATGTTTCAAATATATGTATATATATGTGTATATATATATGTATATATGTATGTACATATATATGTATATGTTCCTATATATGTATATGTGTATGTATATAGGTACACACACAGATATGGTAAAGCATTGAGTTTTGTTCTCAGAGAGCCAAAAGAAGTATGAAGTACCTACTAATGCTTCAGTTTGGGGCACAATCTTTTGCATTTTATGCATGAAGATTAATATTCTTCTGTACTCAAACCCTCAGGTTTACAGGCTTCTCTTAGTGAATGGTGACTGCTAGAGAGTCCTATACTTTTGCACACTTAATATTTTACATTTATGTCTCAACAGGAACATATTTATGAGACCTGTGTGCTTATCAGCAGTACGCACACTTGTTTTGCTGTGCACCACTAATTTTGATAAGATAACGCCAAAATGCAAGAAAATATCAAACAGTTGCCTAACTGTGCCAAGATGGCAGTGTTGCTGACATTGAATTGTGAGAGGGCAGGAAAGCCTTCTGTGGATTAACTGGAAAGATCTGACAGTGTATGTAAGTCAGCTT